ATTAATTCTGTATTTCTACGGAAACCCGTTAGACACCCAGCGAAGGGTCGTGACCCTGTAGAATGCGACAATGAGGACTCTCGCGCGTGTTCTGCATCTGTGTGTTTCGTCGTCAGACGAATCCATCCAATCACACGTTTTTTGTCACGACCGGATGAGGCCGTAGCATCGGCGTGAGTTCTGCGGGGCCAATCGATCGGGACCAGGGTGATTCCCTCTCGCTCTAACACACGCGCAGCATATTGACGCTCGTTCCCGGTTGCTGTCCTCGTAGAAATATGTAATTACCATTGGACCACCACGCCCAGCTGCTACAGTTTGGCTGTGCCCAGTTGCTGCAGTCATGATAATTACATCTCAAATAGGCAAAATATCAATGTCGCGCCTTCACGTTCCCAGCTCACCAGCTCCCAAGGATTTCTGCGGTCACGCTTGGGGGTGTGTTGACATTTATTTATTTCCCATATTAACTGTTAAACTTTTGCTGATTTTGATGTCCATGACAATATTTGAATGTCAAAATCTCGTGTGTGACGTTCTGGCCGCTGGGTTTAGACCTTGTTGTTCCCTTTAGGCCGTGCCCTTTCTGGCTGACTCCGCTGGGATTTTCGCATTATGCAGAAAGACGCCTCACATCGATCATCTGCCAGACGGACAGACGCACGTGTCTGAACTTTGAGTGACTTTTTTTCTTCCGTGCTCGGGCAAAATCCCATCAGTCTCAGCTCGTAACTGTCAAACTGCAGTTTTCTTAAACCTATCAGACCTTAAAACACATGTGCACCTGTGGCAATGATGGTTTATTTGAATATACTTCAACCGGTGGCACATTTTTAACCCCACTAGCTGCAGGCCATTTACAGCTTTTAGCAGAATCATACTCATGCTTTACTCAAATTTACCTTAATTAATGTTCAAAAACAAATCAGCTTCCATCCCTGATTTATATTAGAGCATGTATTCATGCATAGGTAAAGAAACTTTTCAAAACATTTTCCTGCTTTCGGGTAATGCAATGATTTGTCCGACCACAGCAGCTTTCATGCAAATCCTCTCAGATGGGTTCGCCAGCCTCAGCTTCACTGATTTCTCATCTCATCATCCTGTTCATCGGCTCCCGCGCAAATAACTGAATCTCCCTTATTGGACATGACAGATGCGACCTGAACCATGCCACATTTAAAAATAAATACCACCAGTGTTTGAATTGGTTTTATTACACAAGCGAATGGGAATGACGCAATTGTGACACAAACATGAGAAACCTGGGAATCGGATCATGATCATCAGGGCGATAATTCGTCGGGTTGCGCGTCACCATGGAGACCAATCAATTATCTATTTAAGGGTGTGCGGCGTGCTGCTGACACCGCGGCAGCCGGACGCGGGAGGAACAGGCCTGCGGCAGGAGCAGGGATGTGAAAGCAATTATAGGTTTCTATGAAACACACGTTTACACAAGCCCACACTCGGACATCACACAACACGGACGCGTAGACATGCGAAAGGACGTGAAATATACATTAATACAAGAAAGCAAAATCTGAACTTTGTCTTCTAACAATTACATAACACAATTAATAAAATATTTTTGGAAAATCATATGGGTTTTTGAGCCAGAGGGCTTACCTTTTGTGCATTCATACTATTTCTATATTTCTACGGCCCCTTTTATATGACTTAATTTCAGCATTTAATCCTACCAGAGCTGTGTTTAGACCATTTGTGTCAAGTCTGTGAGACAAACCAAATTATTACAAATGAAGAGTTGATATATATATATATATATATATATATATATATATATATATATATTTATATAATATATCACTTTTTAAACTATTAATACAAAGTATGAAGGATATGAAATGAATGTGTTTATAGAGAGACAAAGAAACAACTCGGGCAAATGGGTAAAGTTGTTTTTTCTTTGTCAGAACTCTAAATGTCTAAAAAGTATAAATCCTGGAAACAAAGGACACAGTGGATATAACTTATAAGACATTGGGCGCTGAAGTTTCCTGAACCTTATTCCCATTTCCTTTTCACTTGAGAGGGAAGAGAAGACTCTTTACCACTCCCTGGTGAGCTGCTGTCAGACAAACCAGCGGGTCCAAAGCGCTGCACAGACCAGCGCCGGCTGGGCCCCACTGGTTTTATGATTTAATGAGATATCCGCTCAAGGCCCAAAATGTAAAATTACAACAAAAAAATAGAGGACACACACAATAACAAGGTTTGGAATTTTTAAATGACCAAAATATCTCCTGAGCACAAATAACCCCCTTTTCCTTTCTTTTTTTTTTTTTTAATGAGCCGCAAACTGACTCAGTTTGTTCATTTCCAGAAATGCAGCTGACAATAATACTGCTCTGTGCCCTCATTACGGCAGCCTCGTCTTCTCTGTCCTCATTATCACAGATTACACATGGACAATAGACGCACGGGGAGCAAATAACCCCTCCTTTCCCTGACATGACACTCTGATGCTTTACTGTATACTTGTGACCCCGAGTACAACGACTCCCATCCCCCCCTACTCACTATGTGTGCAATGCTGGATCTGAAAGTTTTTCTCCGTTCTCGCACTGTTGTATTTGTTTTTATTTTGTAAAAGGACTGATTAAATATGAAGATTTATCTGGACACTTCTACTGGAACTACATTAAGACAGTAAATCTAATCACTGGAACCCCTCCCTCCATCATTATCTGCCTTCATCCTAATAATATACAGACCGTGACCTTAATTTGACCCCATTTGCGTCCCAACCCCCCCACTTCTGTCTGTGTCCGCATGATGCGGGACAGCTTGAGAAACAATGGAGAGGTCCACGGAGCCCTGTTTGCGCCGTCTCTTTGTTTACGTTCCCCGTGTTATGACACATCGGATTGATCGTGTCTCCGAGTCTTGTGTGTTTTGACAAGTCTCAAAGTCGTGGCGGAGATTGTCGCTCACACCTTAGCTTGCATTGTGTTGGGCATATGTTACCGTAGAGATGCTCTTATCAGTAATTATGTATTGACAAAAGATTAAAGAACTAAGAGAAAGCTTTAAACCTCTAGAATGAAACACCTCGCAGAAACCCCACCCCCGCCAAAAAAAACCCCCCCACTACAGCCAGACGACTGTAAAACCACGTGGTTGGCCAACCACAGCATGTGAATGGGCCTGAAATGGTGCTCCACGGTAGCTCTTGTACAACGTGATGATGTTGGTGAAAGCGGAATGTCAAACAAAAAGACAGGTGCCCAAATAAATGACTTAATGCAAAAGGTTGATGCGTGTGGATTCTACAACAGTTGCTGGAGCGGTGATGGGTTGTCACAATACGGCCTGCATTGAAACACAAACCAAATCACACGGGTGAAGTGCTCCTTAGCACGACACCCCTGTGTGGACACACACATGGACACGCATGTCCATATCAACCGCCTCTGGATTTGTAATTCACTTTAATAAATTTGAACGTCACAATTATACAATATAATAGTTATAATAGTAATAGTAATAATATAATATTTGCAGACTGACTTAATTTGGTGACGTATTGGGGTCACTTTACCGTAACCCTGTAAATTATTGTGTTGCTTCTAAAGGAAAGCAACCAGTATGTGACAATCAAAACTAACTTCTCAACACTGGCTTTTACTTAGAGGAATGCGTTGTACGAGATCCTTCTACCATTGAGTGCTTTTAGATTTTAAATACATGTGTTATACATTTAGACATCTTTGAAAATCTCAAGCTCATTATTTTAAAGTACTAATAAGACTTCAGAGGAAATTCCTAGCCAGAGTCACTGCTCACATGTGCTGACTTTGGTGCCTGTGTTCTCATCACTCAACAGGTATAGTTACAGATGGGACAACCTGTACATATTTCTTTAAAACATGCATCTCTGCAGACTCTCTGAGGCCCAGAGATTAACGAGTGGGGAGGTTGAGTCTGAGAGGCTTTGGAGACGGGGCACTCTGTCTCTCTTCTCGACCCCCTCGAGTCTCGTAAAGCTCAGAAGGGCCACAGTTAGAAGCACACATGACCTAGTCATGCACACACTCTCTGTTCCTCTGTCAGGAGGAGGGACAGTATATAAAACATTTAATTCAACTTATCTGCCACGGAAGGACATATTTTGTCGACAGCTGGAGGATGAATCCCTGAGAAAAAGAAAGAGACCGAGACGAAGAAAAAAAAAAAGGCAGAGATCCTGTGCATTTACGATGAGCCACGGTTTTGTGGATGGATAGAGAAGAGCGCCTTGTGGAACGTTTGTGTTGTAATCCAACAATTTAAAACTCATTTTGTGTGTTTTAAAATTAGTATCAATGGTTGGCAAGGAGCTCATTCATGGGCTTCCATTACATACCAATATTTGTATTTGGAAAATATTTCAATATTTCTTTTGTTTTACGTATTTTGTCTTCATCTATAAATGGCGACACTAGCGGTCAGTGGACCACTTTAATTCCGACTGAAATGTCTCAACAACTGTTTGATAGATTGCACAAACAGTCACGTTCTCCAGAGGATGAATCCTAATGACTTCTGATCCCTTCACGTCTAATAACTTAGCACCGACTAAATTGTGTTAATCGACAAAATACACACAGACATTCCCGACTGCCTCAGCAGTTCTTTGTGTGATGCTGCGTGTTAAAGTACAAATGGAGCATGTGGTAGAATCAGCATGTTCGCTTAGTCACCACGGGCATGTTAGGTAGCATTACACCCAAAGGATGGCTGTTGCATGGCTTTTGGTTATGTTATTTTCTTACACAGCTTGCACTGGCCTATGCTGTATAAAATGGTCAGATTTTTCTAGAACCAGGATCAGCCCTGAATGTGCAGAGAACATGTTCACCAGCATGTGAATATGTTTGTATTAGCATTAGCAGGCTTACACGTACATAAAGAGTTTGTTCCTGTGCGCACACGAGCGCGTGCTTGAAGTTACTCGGGTACAGAGAGAAGCTGTTCTCAGGACCACGTCCCTCCCCATTCCTCTACAAGTCCACATGTGTTTTATTAGCAGGCAGGCTGACCGGACTGTAAATTCCAACGGCGGGCCGGCCTGAGGATATGCACCGCCCGACGTTGAGAAAGAAAGATCACAGAAAAAAAAAAAAAAGAGACTGGCATGGGAGGAATTACCTCTCTCTTGTCCCCGCTCTTTTTTTTCCCTTTTCAACACTTCACTAAAAGGTATTGTTTCTTTCTCTGCTTTTCCTCTTTCAGTACATTGCTCTCACTGTCTATGTTTCTCTCTGATGCAGTTTATTTCATTTCCAATTTCTGGTTTGCATGCAAATTCTTTCTGGCTCTTTTTCCGGTGTTTTGTTATGTCTTCTTCTCATATCGTCTCTGCTGCACCAACGCTCCCTCTCTTCTTCCCACCATCTGCTCTCGTTCTCATCCTCACCTTGTTTCGGTTAGTTGTCGCTCCACGTTCTTGTTCACTGACGCCAGAACCATCGCATTTCCACAACACTTATGAGACAAGAGCTGTGGCTTAAACAATGGTTTCCCTTTGCCTCGGGACAAAATCTCTCTCTGTCTCTCTCTCTCTCTCATAAACACACACTGCTACACAAACTCTCAGACGCACAATTCCATGGCCCGATACCTATCATTCAAATGTATGTTAGCTTGCTAATTTTCCAGTCTCTTTCCTCTCAATCAACATGACTATCACAATTAGAGCGTGACATGGCAGGTCGTGACCTGCACCCCCTCTGATGCCCCTTGAACCCCGACACCCTCCTCGGGGTGATTGGCTTACATACGTACATGCGCACGCACACACACACACACACACACACACACACACACAAGCCTCGGGGTGCAAAGATGTACCCTCACTTTGACTGTATCAGTTGATTGAGTGGGAGGAGATGTAAGGTTTAACCAAAGCATGTTAATCATTTAGGAAAGTTAATTTATATGAGGGGAAAGTGTTGCTTGGTTGCTAAGGAAACAAATGGGATGCTGTTAAATTCCTCTGCATGTATTAAACAAATATGTTGAGTACACTCGGCTTGGCTTTGCCGGATCAATGGACCTCTGTTGATTGACATATAACTTTCACAGAGAGGTAGCTCACTTTCCCCATGATGGCAGGTCTACCGAAGCTATGCATTGCATATTTATATAGTAAATAATTAGGAAATAATAACATCTCATTCGATTGGATACACTCCATGGGTACAGACATTATTTTAAAAATCAGACATGTGAATTCCCATTACAATATAATTGTTTTGTTCACAGCAAAATGTGCCCTTTTCCACACCTTGACAATATGACATGAAGCTTTGTGTTGATGGTCCTTTGCTTTATTGTTTGATAGCTTCCAAATCTTCCACTGTGTTTACCAGTGGCTAAATTGATCTGTCCATCCTTGGCATTGTACAGCTTTTTTGAGCTTCTTTTGCTGAAAAAAGTTACCTGCAGCTGGTTGCAAAACAATGAGCTTGAAGATGCTTACACACTGATATAGCTGAAAGGAAATTGCAGAGTTGGGTGATAAATGTCTACAATAAGCATGACCCACTTCACATACACATACTCACTTAATGCTTATTAACATCTAGTTAAGAGTAGCTTTATTGAAATCATCTACAACAAGTACATGTACAATCATTTCCGGTACTACACTGGGTCATTATTTATCACTCAACATGGCTTCTACTTCAATTGATACATAAAGTATGTGCTTACATTTCCATACAACAGTTGATGATATTAAGCTGTATCCATCGCCTAACTTATTGCAATCACCTTTTCACAGATCTTGGATAAATGGGAGTCAACAGAAAAAGAAGCCAGGAGGTAAAAACGTCTCTTCGAGAGTTTATGACGGGTGACGCCATTGTGCTGGGCAGTTTAATTACCTCTCTACCACCAGGCCTGGTTCCCATTATGTCTGCTAACAGCCAGCTCTCCTCTGCGCTGCTCCCCTCCCAGTGGCCTCGTCCTCAGTTGGCATCTCTTTCCAACGAGAAAACCACTCATCCCAACAAGTTTTTCACTCCAGCATTCAGAATCGCAGTCCTGCTTTCACTGCCACGATAAAGCATGTATGCCGGCACTAATCTAAAGTTGCACTTCAACTTCAATTGGTTTGAAAATGTTTATACTGTTAATGCATATGGTATGTTTATATAGCATGCCAGTCACAATGGGAAACCTGCATCACGCTGTGCTATAAATGGCAACAATCTGTGTTTTTCCATATGAGAAACTGGCATTGAATGCTGTGGATGTGTTTGAAGGTCAATGTTTGGCACTTCACTGGCACCTGCCCAAAAGGTGCCGAGGTGGCCGGTGTGTGGCTCCAACATGCATGCATGGGAACGGAACGGCATATTCATGGCACGTTTTTTCCTTTTCCCTTTGCAGCTTTGGAGGCAGGATGTGGACAAAGTGTCGTACCACTGAGCTAAAGACAACCAGCAATGAGGAGTTAAATCAAACCGAGGGGATTCAACACAGGCCTTGAGGAGAGGATGTGGCCACAACACCCCCCCCCCACCCCTGAAACCAAATAGCATTGTTCCATACATTGTTGACACATGTATTTATTCTTTTTAAGTCTGGATAAAATGCTTTTCATTCGGAGTCTTGGGACAATGGACGTGTGTTTTACTTTCCAATGCATGGACCTATGTTGTCCCAGTATGAGTTAGCGTGAATTGATCAAATTTAAACAAATTGGTCTGATGTGAAACCACCAAACATTTCCACAGGTTAAAACACACACATGAACTGGAAGAGAGCCATGAGTGAATACACTGCCAAGAAATGTAAAATAATTCCTCCTGTACACCATAAAAGTCTTGGTAGGAGGGGATGTTTGGCATTGAATCTCACTTGCCCATGTCATCTCCTGCTGCCCCATTAGGAGGTAACACCCCACTGTCTCATTACCTGCGGGGCTTTAGGGTAAAGAGGATGTGGTCTGCTTAGCCAGGATTTACTAATGTTTTCCCCCCAACACAACGTGCAGACTCCAGCTGTGGGCCCAGACGCACAAGTTCATGTTCTTGTTCCACATGTACATACACACACACAATAAGCCCATGATGAAGGATCAGGCACTGCATGCAAAGCACTGACCTCAGAGTTGCATGTGGAGGATGAAAGGACAGATAATGGAAAGCAACGAGGACGAGAACCCAAGATGAACGGTGAGAAGACGGGGGAAGTGTCTGTGCCACCATGTCCCGGCCTGAATAGTCTCATCACAAGCAAGTTCACACCCTGTAGTCCAATATTATTCAACCGTGAATGTGTGTTTGTCCGTGTCAGTGGGTATGCATGTGCAGGCCGCCATTAGTTGCTGTACCATTGCTTTGCAAGTGTCATTGTGGGGTCAGCCAGCAGAGTGTGCAGACACGGGAAAATAACTCACCAGCATGGCTTTTACACAGTGAACAGTTGGATTTACACTGTGAATCGGGGTGTCAAAGGGCATTTCCTGGCTCCTTTTCATCTGGACTAAGAGACACAAGACGAAAGCACAAAAAGGTTGAAGGTGGAGGGAAAGGGTAAGAGAAAGGGGACTGAAGCGGGAGTGTAAAATGTGAAAAACGGGACAGATAAAGGAGTAGTACACTGTGGGAAAGAAGGGGGGTGCAGTCCTGTATGATTAGTGCTTAGCTTTAGCTCTCTTTGTAGCTTGTCCAGGCCATCTCCTTATCTGGGTGGGTGCCACATTCCGGCCAAATTCAGCACTGTGTCTCCTCTGTCCGTCTCTGGGATGCTGCTAATGTGGCCATTATCTCTTTGATTTGGAGATAGGAGATGTCCAACAACACTCTTTCCAATTCAATTCCAGTGTAACTTGGATGTCTTGGGAAAATGCTGCATCTTAATGTAGTAAGTTTTCAAACAAATGTTTACAGTTTCTTACAGCTTTCATATGACTGGAACTAATCACGATGAACTCCCTAAATATGAATTATTAGCAGCAATTTGTGTGAGTCACCGGAGATGTTGCCAAATCCTAAAGAAAAGGTCAGACGTGCCTAATGCAAAATTTTGTGGCAACCTAGAAGTGGAAACTAAGTGGGAAATATGGTCTCCTTGCAGGGTTGTGATTACACTGGAGAGCTCATCACTCATTCGCAGGCGGTGAAATGTAGCCGTGGGCAGAAGGACCAGCTTGACCCTGCAGTCGTCTGAATAATTGCCTGAGGGAGAAATGTCTGGTTTGATACTGGGGATGGAGGAGGAGGAGGAGGAAGGAAGGAAGCAAAGAGAGAAAGATTTGAGGAAAAAAAAGAAGAACGAGAGACGGCGAGATAGCGGACTAATGGACTGGGCTGTAATAAGTCTGCAGGTAGAGCTGATGCTATCTCTCTGGCAGGCATATTCCTCACCAGTGTGGACACTAAATCCCTCACGCGGACTCAGAAAGGCCTGACGAGGTTGGCCTTTCACAAAAGCTAAACCTTTATCTGTACAATGTAGAACAGGTGGAGTTTTTTTTACATTAATAACATGTTATTTTATTTTACGCTGAAGTTCTTAATAAAAAGAATTGTCAAGAATTGTATTTTATTGACCCACAATTTTCAATATATTCAAAATGTTCGGAATGGAAACAATTATATTTGTGAAAAACTTCTGATTGGTTTATAAGTTAACATGCAAAATAGAATCCTTATCCTACTCCACTTATCCTTATCCTGAAGAAGTGATGCGTCAGACATAATTCCACCAAAAAACAAACCGAAGCTCAGTCAGATCCGATTAGTTTCTAATGGATGATTATTATAAGAAGTTGGGTTGGTTAACTATTATTTTTTACTGGGAAAGTTGTTAATCATTAACACATTAGCTGAGTTTCCCCTGTGACTCATCAGATGAAGTGAATGCACTTCCGATGACTTGCTGTTGGTGTTGCTTGCGGTGTGAACATGGAGCTCAGTTCTGGGTCCACGCGGATCTCTCTGTTTCGGGAGGGGAGCAATGATTAAGTGATGAAGTGTCAAGTCATCGTGTCATGCGTGGCTTCGAGTGGGTGTTAACGGTAATACTACTACGGAATGTCCAGAATAACCAAAGTCGCTGTTGCTGAAGATATATCATTCTTCTGTGAATCCTAATCATCGTCTCACAGGGTTTCATCACACTAAAGGATTTTGGCTCCGAACCACTTCTTGTTGTAGCACATAAGTGAACAAGTACATTTGGGGGAACAACATCTATGTGTTTTTTTTTTCATGAGTCATGACTTGCAGGAAGGAGGAGTTGTGAAAATTCTTTTTAAATCAACCCACACCTCCTGCTGGTTTTCTGAGTAAGTGTGGAAAAGTTCATTGGAGAACACTTGGCAGGGCAGTATTTCACCCCTTCAGTCAATTCTTTTTACGTTTAACTTCTGCCCCGAAACTATTTGCTCGTATGCAAAATCAACAAAGCATGACGGAGTGAATAAAAATGGCCGAGGTGGATGAAGACCAAATAATTTAGAGCAAGAGAGGAAAGTGAAAGAAGATTGAATGCATCAACACAAACCAAGATGCATCGGAAATCTTTGATATGGGAATAAATTGCAGGCTCACACAGAGGGAGATGCCACAAGAGAATAACACCATGTGATTTATGCAGCACGGCAGTGGACATGTAGCAGAGCTTCCCCGAATGTGTTTACTTCATAGCTTCACTATTCATCTTCCCATTCACACAATTATGCACAACCATTTGTCTCTGTTATGTTGGAGGAGGTCATAAATCTGTCTGTTAAGGTGTGTGTGTGTGTGTGTGTGTGTGTGTGTGTGTGAGATTGCACTTATGTGCATGGTTGTGTTTCTGGTTTAAGTAACAAAACAGGAATAGCATGACTGAATGAGTTTTCTCTGATCCTCAAGTTACATTATACCTATTGATTGGAACCCGGCAACACCTTTGAATGGTATTAGGCTCATTTGTCCGTTCGAGCACGGTTCTGTTTTTAACGACGCAGAGGCCCATAATTGTCTCAAGATGTTCTTGTGCTTTTTGGCCATGTTGAGAAGATTAAGGACAAATATCCTTCAAGCTTTGAAGAGCGCAGAAGTGCGAAGGGAGGAACATAGTCGAAAAGAGAGCCACCAAATGAAATGCTACAGAACGGATTGACTTCAAACCGAGCTAAACAGCGTTGCGAGATGTCAACACCTTAAAAACCTACCTCTTTAAACCTTTCTTTCAATGTCACTTTTTCAATGTCAACACCTTTGGTATGCAACACGTTCCCTCATACTGGCATATTTGAAACACACGAGTAGAGAAGGGGCTGATTTTCTCTCTCTCTCTCTCTCTCTCTCTCTCTCTCTCTCGTCTGCGTGATCGTCTGGTATGGCAGGAATGTCACACATCACACACGCAGACGCAGCAGCCGTCACGGCGACCACACACTCTCGAGTTTACGGTCAGTTGACAAGTGGATTATCGGACCTTGAGGTACAGGGACATCATGCAGGCACGTACACACACACACACACACTCAAAACTATCTGTACCAATCTGATATTAGTAAAAGAATGGCAAAAAAACAGCCAACCCAAGTGAGAAAAAGTGTTTTTTGGGTGGTTTAAGTGAGTCTATTCGCACATGCCACCCATCACCTACACACAAGAATGCAGACCAGCCAATCCCTCCTCCAGACACTTCAAATGATCACTATCTCACTCTCCGTGTCCCTGTTGGCTCACTGTTACACCCCAGACGCACAACCCCTGGAGCAGGTCAGCAGACAGAGGTCAACAGTTGATCTCTGTACCTAATGAGGGACGGAGACCAATGGAGTTACAACACCACAGCAAGATGATCAGTGCTGGTGAGACAAGAGAAAGATGTCTGTAACGTGGACTCATAAGGCATTTCAGATGTGTGTGTGTGTGTGTGTGTGTTTTTTCTCATGGTGAACAAGGGACCCAATTGGAACAGTATAGACCTAGTGGAGCTGTTCCTCAGTTATGTTGATCTTGGATTCATTCAGAAGAAATGGTGCAGCTAGTAATGTTTACTTAAGAGTTCGGCTCCCATTTGATGAGGTGCATGGATTCCTTGTGTTTTAAGTTAATACGATTTTAAGAACTTCTTTAACAATGTGGAGGTTGACGAAGGGGTCATATATGCTTCAGCGAACAAGAGAGGGAGGAAAGCAAAAGATACAGGAGGATAAAAAAAAGACAGATGTATGTGTGCAGCGAGCTAAATTAAAAGGGTTACAGAAAAAATCAAAAGGAAAGGAGAAAGGACAGAACATAAAAGGAGTGGAAAAACTGAAGATAAATAAATTCAGAGCGGCACTCACAAGCTACAAGGGGATGACTAACTGCAGCCGAGGCCATAATGACATTTAGATGAGACCAAGAAAATGGTTTGCTCATTCAGCACGGCCTTCGTGGCTTTGTCGGATATTGTATATTTCCTAATAGCCCACCTATTTTTCCACTGCAGACAAAAGACTAATGCTTTTCACATTAGTAGCATTCCTTTAGAAAGGGGGAGCATCGTATGTGATACAGCGCTTCCATCGTTGAGTGACTGATTACTTTGGTTCCATGAAGGGTGATGTCGGATGGTCAGTCAGTCCAGCACTTTGGCCTCAACTAAAATTTCTTAACAATTATTGAATTTAACGCCATAGAAGTTTATTCTAACTCCTGGTAAAAAAAAAGTCATGTGACTTCAGGCATGTCAATACACAGTCTCAGAGAGATGCTTAAATACCACAAGATTGACAATGTGTTGTTGTTTTTTTTCATGATTTCTTTTAGAGATTGAAGTTCCGAGGGAAATGAAAGCATGTCATTTAAATGAATTTATCATCTGGTTGATAATGAATTCCCTGAATTGTACTAGATTAGGAACAACTAAATGCTTTCCCCATGCTGCCTAAATACTGTCACAGCAGATATGTACACACTTAATTGTAATTCATGCACCTATTATGTTTGATAAACTTACATAAACTTTACAACCAAGTACAGGGTGCAATTGTTTCCTGATTTATTTCTAAGAGTGTTTTCTATTTTGCTGGGGTAGTAAAACGTGAATTTATTATGAGCACCGATAACATCAACCATTACAATCCCATCTATCAAACGCGATTGAAACACATTGAATGCTGCAACAAAGTTATTGTTTCTGCCACAAAAAATATTTAGTGTCTCGCCTCAAGCTAAGATTTATTACAGCGGAAAGAAATTCTTTTCTGGTTCACCCGGATACAAGATAATATACACTCGCAAATATATACACACACTCAGGTCTCTTTCAGGCGGATCCCTCCCGTTGGTCCTTCGTGGTGGAATTAGTTTAGATTGATGAAAGAGGAAAAGAAAGTCACATTAGAGAGCTTTTCATTATATCACTATGGGAGCCACAGAAGAAGAGAAAAGAAAAAGGAGTGAGGGTGAAAGGCCTGGAGAAGGGGGGGGGACGGAAATAGCCCCGGGGCATTCCTCAAACATCTATCAAGGCAGCAACATATGATTCAGAGCATTGCCAAGAGTCCCACTTTAAACAACACCCCAAGCAGCTGCCCAGGAAAGTCAGCGACGGACAGACGAGCCAAAACCAGTTACCCTCAGCCTGATGTGGGGGGGGGGGGGGGGGGTGACTTCACCAGGACAGAGAAATGAGAATCAGTGGTTATCATCTGTACTGATAAGCTGACGGGGGGGGGGTCAGACAAAAAGGGAATGTCATGCGGAGGTTCACACTTAAAATGACAAATGGAGAGGGCGGTAAAGGTGACTGACTTTGTTCGTTGTAACGCTCATCATGTCGAGCATGGAATGCTACCATGTTAACGGTTTCAAGTCAACGAAAATGGACATTTTTAGCCGACGGCGCTTTGTTTGATGGCAATAGCAGCTCAGTCCGTGGGGACTGGGCTCCACAGACCAAGTAAGGAGTGAGGACTCGTAGCTGGAGAATCGCCAGTTAGCCTCCTGGGCACCACCAAGTTGCCCTTGAGCAAGTCACCGAAGCCCCATTCGTAGGTTGCCTGTGTGCGGACGTATTTTTTTCCGATACCACCACTTGGAGCAAAGTCAAATTCAAATTCTGTGTCCTTGAGGTCTAACATGGCCACCATGTGGACAATGCAGACGTTCGTTAAAGTCTCATTCTCACTAATAGCCAGCCTTTGGATTGCAAAAATAAGTCTTAATACATAGTCTAAGACAAAAATAAACCTTGATTTGACCTTAGCAAACATTGTAAACAAGAGTGCATTGTCAGAATCGCTATTTGCTCACAGAATAACGGACTAATTCCTTTGGTAACAGTTGGTCCCACTTAGAGTCAAATAGACGATAAAGCGCGAAAAACCCGAACACGTCTTATTCAGCACTTGAACTTAGCATAGCTAAATTGAACTTAGCTCCAACCTCTCGCGTTGGAAAAATATGGCAACCTAAAAAACTCCAAACTCAAGGCCTGAAAAAACACCGTCCCAAAAACGATGCGCGATGTCACAGTGGCTGTACGCCTGTTTAATATCAATACAAACTATGCGTTTGACTTGAAAAAGGCTTCTATGGTCTTT